TATTACTAATTTTTTTTTCAAAAAGTAAATCGGGTCGATTGAAGTATTATACGACGTCTTTGCGGTTGTACCTTTAAAATACACATTTATTGCAAGTGCAAATAATGCTAGGTGAAAACAGTTGATTTTTTGGGTTTTTTCCCACTATTTTCAGATGCTGTGTGCTTTAAATATAGGACTAATCATAAACTGTTAACACAGAGATATGTCTCGCCTTTTTGTATATTGATAATGCAAATGTTGAAATTAAAAGAGCAATACCTTAACATGTAAGTTATGCAAATATTCAGAGTCAATGAACCATGACTGACGGTACATGGCCAAACAATCTCCATGGAAATAGATGTGCCAATGCTAATACAACTGCATACCAAATACCATTGACTTATCATAAGTCGTTCCCTTTAAACAAACCCGCTCCAGTCATGCTTAAGTGATTCCCTATTGATCAACCAAATTTTTCCCACAAAAGGGAGGGGGTGCCGGCAACTTATATATGTGAATATCTAAAAACATTTCTAAAGATCACTTGTATCGAATCTTATGAAAAAATTCCAATTTTGGAACTTTTAAAAGGTCAAGGTCACTGTATTTAACAGCTGAATGAAAATTGTAAATGTGCTCCCTATAAGTACAAATGTCAATATCGAACCATATTTGGCAATAAAATTATCAAATTAGTCCTAAATATAGAAACTATAGTTATAATCCTTTGAATTATTCGAATTTATTTTGCTATAAACGCAAATATGAAGGGGCGGCCAGCTGACTAAATGTGACTCTACGGTTTCCTTGAAATTTTAAATTTGACCCAAATTTAAGAAAATCGTGACCACTGTAGACAACGACATCAATATTTCGACGAGGCTTGTTCTCCTCTTTCCAATGATATAAAATATAGCCGTGTGTTATTCCGTTAACCCAAATCGATCAAATTTGTTGACTGGGCACCCTACTACAACTGCATACCAATTAACATTGGCCTACCACTAATGGTTCCCCTTGAACTGACCTAATCACAAACTAATACATGTAAACTAAGGAAAAGTTTCAAAGTCAATAGACCATGACTGAGGGGATGGAGCCAAATAATCTCCATGGAAATGAGATATGCCAATGCTTATACAACTGCATACCAAATATCATTGACCTACCACTAGTGGTTCCCCATAAACTGACCCAATCACAAACTAATACATGTAAATTCAAAGTCAATAGACCATGACTGAGGGGGCAGGGCCAAACAATCTCCATGGAAATGAGATGTGCCAATGCTAATACAATTGCATACCAAATAACATTGACCTACCACTAGTGGTTCATCATAAACTAGACCTAATCACAAACTAATACATTGTTGACGCTGCCGCTGACACCGCTGGAAACAGCATACCTATGTCTTGCTTTTTGGCTCCGTCAAGGCGAAACAAACACTGCCCTTATAATGTATGAAGTTCATGAGTATGGTAACCATATTTACCAATTTAGCTCACAAATCATGTTTAATTAGTGGTTTATCGTGAGATTAATCTATAGAAACAGCAGTGGGATCTTCAATGACAGTTGGGCAACGTGAGTTAAGGTTGTTTTAACGTCATATGTACCACATTTGACATTTATGACAAATATTTTTCTGAAGATGAATAATCGATAGACCTTTTAAGATATTAGAATTCCATGAGGTATTTAGGTAATTTAAACTCGTTATGCGTCTTTTTCAACATTCGTCGCTCCACTACATTGCTTATACAACTGCATACCAAATATCATTGACCCGTCATTAGTCAGTGTTTCCCTTTAAAGGTTAAACTGATCTTAACACACTTCTAACAGTGTTGACACCACAGCTGCTAAGTCCCTCTTTTTCATCTTTGAGACAAAATCATGAAAAATGTATTGTTAATGTTGTATGTATGTTAAATGATCAATTGATATTATGAAAATTCAATTTAACTCCAGCTGTATTTACTATTTTGTTTAAAGTTTGTTAATGTTTACAAACGAAATGTACAAAAATGCCCCAAAAAGTGCCCTATATTTGTATATAAACAAGCATTCTGAGAGTATTGCATGGAAATACATAGTCCCCTACCGGTTAAAAATTAATTGTACTGGAACAAAATACTAACTTGATCTATAACTTGTCATGGTGTAAACTAGATAACAAATATCAAGTCAATACCTTCAAGCATGACGAAAAAAAGTGTGGAAAACTGATTATCTAAGTGAATTTTCTAAGTACAAGGTCCATAACTCTGCACAAAATCATCAGACCGGAACAAAATTCAAACTTGATCTGTAACATGTCATGATAAAACAATGTACCAATTATTAAATCAATATATTCAAGCATGACGAAAAAAAGTGCGGAAAACTAAATATTTGAGTGAATTTTCTAAGTCCAAGGACCATAACTCTGCACAAAATTATCAGACCGGAACAAAATTCGAACTTGATCTGTAACTTGTCATGATAAAACAATATACCAAATATCAAATCAATATCTTCAAGCACGAAGAAAAAAGTGTGGAAAACTGATTTGCCAGACTGGTAGATGGAGTGCAAACCTATAAGTCCCCTTCCTAAGTCGGTAGGGGACTAATAATTTCAATTAACAACTGGAGCACATATCAGACCAATATGTAAATTTATAAGTCCAAGTGTACGTATTGCAAGTCTGTTTCTCCAGAATGTATCCCATATGTACCTTTCATGGATTTTATTTGTGTTAGTTGTGCCTTTGGTTACAATTTTGTAAAACATGCTGTCACATCAATTCCAATTTATTCACGAGACATTTGCTTGTATATATAGTCAACTGAACAAAAAAAAAATCCCATAAATCCTGCCAAAATCATCAAACCAAAATGCCGAAATAGTATGGTCATTATGCCCATTAACTCTAAAGTGTCCTCCTCTTATAAAAGGCAATAATAGTCAATGTCCAAGTATTTCTGGAAAGCTTAAATAAAAAGTGGTGGAATATTATTGTCAACTACACCTGATGTCAAACAATCCTACCAGGTATGAAGCTTTTTCTAAAAAATGTCTTTGAGTTGCTTAAGGTTACAATAGGCAAAAATGGTCAAAGTTCTATAACTCCTGGCAAAATTTTCAAATCCAAATGGTTGTATATTATGATGAATGTAAAGTACTAAATATTTACCCTGATTCCAATATCCTTATTTAGAAAATTTAATGGAGCTTTAAATAAATAACTTATGGAGAAACTGGTGATGTTTAATGGAAGTCAAATCTATTTGAGGCTCCCATGGCTTTCTTGGCAATTTTTTCAGTTTTTTACCTAACCAAGCGATTCCATAGGAAATTTACAACAATTGTGATGAAAATTAAATAAAAAATATCTGGTTCTAAAAATGATTTTGAGGACAAATTTGTGCTTGCATGGAACATTATTCATAATGCAATCCAGGAGAAAACTATGTAAATGATAACATTTAGCTAAAATTTATTGTTATGTTCCCTTTACAAATGGTTGTGATCATGTAGCGCTTTTCATTATTATTGATGAGAAACAGTCTAACCTTTTATAAAAGCATTCAGTCATAGAGTCTCTGGAAAGTTGCATGCATAATACATCAAATGGCTACAAGTGAAAACATTGTCAAATCAAAATGTGGTAAAGTAAGGTCCCCTACATATGATGAATAAAATGCTTCTTTGAGCGCAGCCTGATACGACCGCAGAGGTCGAACCCTTAAGAGTTGGGGCAAATTTTGACACAATATTCAAGCTTGATACTGTCTGAATTTGGATTGTGATCAAATTTTTGACATAATATAGGTTTCTGACACACAAAGATTTCTTCTTGAAACTTTTCAAAAATTTTAGAAAAAAAAAATATGAATCCCTTAAAAAACAATGGGAAAAAAATCCCCCCCCCCAACTTTTTGAAAAACCCCTTTGAGCAATAACCCCATAACTCAATCCCATCTTTTCCTTTGTAGTATGGAACCTTGTGGTACAATTTCAGAGAGATCCATACACTTACACACAAGTTATTGTCTGGAAACTAGAAAAAGGCTTGTTTTTGGCCCCTAATTCCTACATGTTTGGGGCAATTAACCCCAAACAATTGCCCCAAACTCAATCCCAGCCTTCCCTTTGGTATATGGAACCTTGTGGTACAATGTCAGAGAGATCCATACACTTACACACAAGTTATTGTCTGGAAACTAGAAAAAGGCTTGTTTTTGGCCCTTAATTCCTGAACTGTTGGCCCCCATAACCCCTAAAATGAATCCCAACCTACTACTTGTGGTATTAAACGTTGTGGTACAATTTCAGAGCAATCGAAATACTTATACACAAGTTATTATCCTGAAACTAGAAAAATGCTTGTTTTGGGCCCCTAATTCCTAAACGGTTGGGACCATCATCCCCAAAATCAATCCCAACCTTCCTTTAGTGGTATCTTAAAAAATTTCATAGAGATCCATTCACTTAAACTAAAGTGATTGTCCGGAAACCAATGTGTTTTCAGACGACGACGACATCATACCATCCCAAAAAACTTTTTGCGGTCATATAAAAACAAAACCCTACCAAGTAAGAAAACCTTCAGTTAATCTTAAAGAAGTGGTGGTAACAAAGAGTTATAAATCAGCTTACAAAAGAAAGACTTGCTACAATTTTCAAAGTTCATACGAAGAACTCTCTCTCGTGACAATCTTTCCAAATGCCACCCAAATTAGAATTTGATCTGTGTTTGGTGGTAACAAACATTGTGTACAAGTTTCATAACATTAGTTTGATTCAAAGTTAAGTTAGAGAACATAACCCAATTTTTTAGATGTAGGGACAGACAGAGTAAAACTTAATGCCCCTCGCCAGCTAGTGGTGGGGCATACAAACATTTATCTTGAAAATGAATGAACAAATTAAACCTTAATCTTTCTTTCAGAGTAGTTGAGAGAACAGAACACTTATTTAAGGCCTGACAACATACATAATATATAATAAACTGGAAATAAAACATCTAAAATTTCTATATTAAGATTTAATATTCAAACTGGACTGTCAAAAATACAAGAAGTTTTAAGACAATCAATTCTTCACAAGTCAACAATAGTATCACTCATTCAGCACTATAATAATTTAATGTCCATAAGATGATGTATGTATTATGACTGTTCTTCGGCCAATCTTTCTGCTTTAGCTACAGCCTCTTCTATTCCTCCTACCATGTAGAAAGCTACTTCTGGTAAATGATCTAGTTCACCTAGAAAATATATCAAAATTCAACCTGAATATTTATGCTGTATGAATATAAAATTGTTTATTATAAGATGTATTTACTTTCTTAATGTTCTTTCAAAAGTAGATTTCCCGTACCATATGCATATTTCTTTCAAATTATTGACCATGACTGAAAACAGCATCATCTATAATTAATGATTTTTGAAAGAAAACTTTTCCGCTAAAACACAATCAGGTGGGAATATTTTGTGTCACATTTTTGAATCAAAGTACTTAATAGCACTGAAAGGTAAAGATTGCTTAAATTCATCGGTGTGATGTCAAATTAAATATTGCATTGTATAAAGCATTGGTTGTAGTTGATGCAACTATAATTCTGGACAAAGGAAGATAACTCCAATTTTTATAGATGACTTTAACAATGACATCATTGATATTTTTAGAACAGATATTAAGATTCCTGCACCTTGCAAAAGTTATGTAATTTTCTTGACAAGTATAACATAATTTTTGACTTGAATATCTGAGTGTTTATTTCCTTGATAAATTTCCTGAAATGTTCATGGATGGGATGTATAGAATGTTATGATCAATGCACTATATTTTGTGTATCTCAAAAAGTAGTGATAAACCTTGGAAGATTTAGATATCAAGTCAGTACCATATGGTTTTGATTACATTTCATGCAATCTTTACCTAAAAAATTCGTAAGGGTTCAACGGAACCCAGTGTCTCGCCTACTTTTTCTGTTAATTGCAGGCTCAACAAAAATGAGGAAGTAAATCAATAAAAATATTTCACTTGATACTATCTTTTGATTGTAAGAAGCTTCTGTCCAAGTTTGGTAAAAATCAAGGATAGTTTATGAATCTAATAAATGTTTAAAAACTTTAACTGCAGACTGAATGTAATGTTAACTGGAAGAAAACAAAATTTCCTTCTAGATACTAGCATTTGATCCTAAACAAGCTTCTGTCCAAGTTTGGTACAAATCCAAAATAGTATAAGAAAGTTATTAAATTTTTAAAAACTTTAACCACAGAGTAAATGTGTTGTTTCCTGGCAGAAAATCTAAGTCCATTTAAAAGTAAAATACGGAAAAAATGGATTTATTTTTTTACAAAATTTCCTTCTAGATACTAGCTTTTGATCATAAACAAGCTTCTGTCCAAGTTTGGTACAAATCCAAAATAGTATAAGAAAGTTATTAAAATTTTAAAAACTTTAACCACAGAGTGAATGTGTTGTTTCCTGGCAGAAAATCTAAGTCCATTTAAAAGTAAAATAAGGAAAAAATGGATTTATTTTTTTACAAAATTTACTTCTGGATACTATCTTATGATCATAAACAAGTTTCTGTCCAAGTTTGGTACAAACCCTGGATAGTTTAAGAAAGTTAATAAAATTTTAAAAACTTTAACCACAGAGTGAATGTAATATTTCCCGGCAGAAAAACTAAGTCCACTTATAAGTAAAATACGGAAAAAATGGAATTTTATTTTTACAAAATTTACTTCTGGATACTATCTTGTGATCATAAACAAGCTTCTGTCCAAATTTGGTAGAAATCCAGGATGGTTTAAGAAAGTTATTAAAATTTCAAAAACTTTAACCACAGAGTGAATATTTGTGTACGCCGCCGCCGACGGAATGTAGGATCACTATTTCGACTAAAGTCGAAGGCTCGACAAAAATAAAAGCATAATGAGTATTGATGAATTTCTGTTGTTAAATATGTCGGGGATAAAAGTCTGAAAGGATTTTCTTTTCTATCAAGCAGTTAATTTATATTTAGTATTATAACCTGGGGGGTCTACGGACACTTCATATGTGTTATAATAACAATGTGTAGAATATTAATACACTTCTAAAACAATTAAAAAGTTTTTTATTTGTGAAATAATTAGGCCATCTGTGTACAGTTTGCTCAAACAGTAAAGACCTTTAATGAGGAGAAAAGTGATAAATGCCAAAGGTCTATGGACACTACAGATTTTGTCTTATATTCATATATTATTAAAAAAGGTGGGGTTTTTTTTCATTTACAGTGTATAATTTAACTTAATAGCAATATACAATTATCATTACATGTCTAACTTTTCATACGAAGCTTGAATTAGAAAAGTTAAAATACTGGTCTACAGATAAAATTTTCCTCAAAACTGACGAAAATTTTGTCCTATCTGCCAGGATGTGTGAATTTACTTTAATTCTAACCATCAGTCTGCAGAAGAAAAAAGATCAATTAAAGAATTTATTGCAAGACAAGTAATATTTCTTTGGAAATAAAGTAGGGTCCACGGACATTACAATGTAATTGAAACTTTCATTGATATTTTTTTATATGCTTGACGGTTTTCAGTTTGATTCTCCAGGAAAAACTGATTAAGGTATCAAATTAGATTGTAAAAATGTCATATGCTTTCAACATTTGAAGATATTATACTTAAAAGTCATATATCCAACACCTTTCAAAATTAGTATTTTCATAACAAAGATGTCATTTTAGAATTTATCCATTAAAACTTTATCATTTCATAGTAGGGGACTAAAAATTCGTAAGGGTTCCGCGGAACCCAGTGTCTCGCCTACTTTTTCTGTTACTTGCAGGCTCAACAAAAATGAGGAAGTAAATCAATAAAAATATTCCACTTGATACTATCTCTTGATTGTAAGAAGCTTCTGTCCAAGTTTGGTAAAAATCAAGGATAGTTTATGAATCTAATAAATGTTTAAAAACTTTAACTGCAGACTGAATGTAATGTTAACTGGAAGAAAACAAAATTTCCTTCTAGATACTAGCATTTGATCATAAACAAGCTTCTGTCCAAGTTTGGTACAAATCCAAATAGTATAAGAAAGTTATTAAAATTTTAAAAACTTTAACCACAGAGTGAATGTGTTGTTTCCTGGCAGAAAATCTAAGTCCATTTAAAAGTAAAATTACGGAAAAAATGGATTTATTTTTTACAAAATTCTTTCTAGATACTAGCTTTTGATCATAAAAAAGCTTCTGTCCAAGTTTGGTACAAATCCAAAATAGTATAAGAAAGTTATTAAAATTTTAAAAACTTTAACCAAAGAGTGAATGTGTTGTTTCCTGGCAGAAAATCTAAGTCCATTTAAAAGTAAAATAAGGAAAAAATGGATTTATTTTTTTACAAAATTTACTTCTGGATACTATCTTATGATCATAAACAAGCTTCTGTCCAAGTTTGGTACAAACCCAGGATAGTTTAAGAAAGTTATTAAAATTTTAAAAACTTTAACCACAGAGTGAATGTAATATTTCCCGGCAGAAAAACTAAGTCCATTTATAAGAAAAATACGGAAAAAATGGAATTTTATTTTTACAAAATTTACTTCTAGATACTATCTTATGATCATAAACAAGCTTCTGTCCAAGTTTGGTAGAAATCCAGGATAGTTTAAGAAAGTTATTAAAATTTCAAAAACTTTTAACCACAGAGTGAATATTTGTGGACGCCGCCGACGACAACGACGCCGACGGAATGTAGGATCGCTATGTCTCGCTTTTTCGACTAAAGTCGAAGGCTCGACAATAAAAGTGACACACAATAACACCACAAATATGTCCTTTTTGATGTGTTTGGCAGCATTCTACGTGTTCACAAAAGGCACAACTTCAGCATTGTTATATATCGTTAGAAAGAACACACTGCTGGCAAACTGGATAGACTTGTTTCAATAATATACAATCAAATGCAATTAAATAATAGTTCCATAACACTGAGTCATGTTTTCTGCTCCTTGGTCGGGTTGTTGTCTCTTTGATCTATTCACCATTGCCATTCTCAATTTTATTTGCATTTCCCTATCTGATTGTGTTTTAGCCGTTTTATACTTTTCTTTGAGGCATTTATTGTTGAAAAGCATCTACATATACGCTGATTTTTAACATGTTTATTGTCAAATCAACACCATGTGAAACATTAGGTATAATTGTTACAAAACAAGCAGAAAACAAGAACCTAAACCAATACAAGTAATTTGGTTGTGTTTACTGATCTTCTATAAAAGCATGCAAAGCAAACCTTTGATCAACTTGCTTGCTATGTTTGCTTGGATGTTTGCAAACAATAGGTAGGCGAAGTTTCAGTCTGTTTTATATATACTGGGATTTGATTGGAAAATAAAAATTGACATGCAATGAAGTTAATGTTTATTGTCCAATCAAATTCCATTATATAGTAAACAGACTGAAACAGACTACCTACCTTTTGTTTACAAACATCCAAACAAATATAGCAAGCAAGTTGATCAAAGGTTTGCTTTGCATGCTTTTATAGAAGAGCTGTAATAACAAAATATTTTAACTTCTCAAACAGTTACTTATAATAACCGAGAAAAAAATGTTTTTATTAGGTGTGGACAGAAACTTGAGAACAGAAGGTATCTGTAATAGATATGAAGTGTCAAGGTCTTCTACCTACTGAAATATAAAGCTAAATGCAGAGAACTGTCGCCACACTGGTGACGGGCAACAATAAACTTCTTTTTGATTCTACTGAAATTCAGATTCTGGTTAAATAAAATGTCCACATAAAATTCATATTTATTTTCTTTAATTTTGACAAATCTAACAAAGAACCTGTAACTTTATTGTCTATAACCCCCCCCAAAAAATGTGTTTTAATTCTAATGTTTGTATGTGTTCATGGATGCTAATGTTCAACTTGTATGTTTCACTGAACTAACCTGACATAATTTTCTGGAATCCAATAATTGATTCTTTAAGTGGTACATATTTTCCTTCTGATCCAGTGAAAACTTCAGCCACTTGGAAAGGTTGTGATAAGAACCACTGTATTTTACGGGCTCTAGCTACTGTTAATTTATCTTCTTCCGATAATTCATCCATACCCAAAATGGCAATAATATCTTGCAATGATTTGTAATTCTGAAAGGAAACAAAGAAATATTACAGTGATTTATTCTTTTTTTTTATTTAATCAACTCCTAATGAAAATTGAAAAAAAATCATATATGAATTTAAACAAATGAAGTTTTTGGATACAATATTTAAGGTTTAACCAAAATGAATTTTGCAACTATAGATGGTATCAAACATTATTTCTTGCAGTTTTTTATATAAACTGTTGACACAGAGATACATGTTAGTCATGTTTTGTAATTTTGATAGTATAATGCAAATGTTGAGATCAAAATTGCAATATTTAAACATGTAAACTGAAGGTGCAGAGCCAAATAACCTCCATGTAAACGAGATGTGCTAATGCTAATCTAACTGCATACCAAATACCATTGACTTATCATAAGTCGTTCCCTTTACACAAACCTTAACACAAACTTAAACTTGTCAACTATGCAAAACATTCAAAGTCAATGAACCATGACTGAAGGTGCAGAGCCAAATAATCTCCACAAAATATATTTTTATTTCTTTATATTTGGATTTTCCCTTTTCTATTTCTATCTTTAAAAAGCATTCTGTGAGTATTGCATGGCAATACATAGTCCCTTACCGGTTACAAATTCATTGTAATGGAACGAAATTCTAACTTGATCTATAACTTGTCATGGTGTAAACTACATAAAAATATCAAGTCAAAATCTTCAAGCATGACGAAAAAAACTGTTGAAAATTGATTATTTAAGTGAATTTTCTATGTCCAAAGACCATAACTCTGCACAAAATTATCAGACTGGAACAAAATTCCAACTTGATCAGTAACTTGTCATGATAAAACTTTATACTAATTAACAAAATCAATATCATCAAGAATGACAAACAAAAGTACCACTAAATTCTTGAAACAATTTACCAAAGAAAAGGAAAAAAATTCAAATTGTCATTTTTACTTTTAAAAAATGTTTAAAAAAATGAGTTATTTCCCTTTGAACAGAAATCTACTTTTTAATAAGTATTTCATAAAAAATTTAATTCTAGGGAAAGGGCTTTAACTGAACAAAGAGAAAAGCTAAAATTGTGAAAATTGAACTTGACCTGTAACTTGTCATGATAAATCAATAAACAAAATATCAAATCAATATCTTCAAGCATGAAGAAAAAAAGTCTGGAAAACTGATTTGCCGAACTGACAGATGGACAGACAGACAGACAGACGGACGGAGTGCAAACCTAAAGTCCCCTTCGACTTCGTCAGTAGGGGACTAATAACTGTGGAACAAGTTTGAAGAACTAGTTTGTAAAACAAGTTTTTAGAACTAGTTTGATTAGTATCTAATTATAAGTCTTTGATACTGCACGGGCATTTCTAAGGCGGTATTACGGGTGGGGTTCTATAGTCATATATAAGTCCAATGCTTGTATAGTATGTATCCAGGTGCTTATCTGAGATATGGACTTGACCACCAAAACTTAACCTTGTTCACTGATCCATGAAATGAGGTTGAGGTCAAGTGAAAACGGTCTGACGGGCATGAGGACCTTGCAAGGTACGCACATACAAAATATAATTATCCTATTACTCATAATAAGAGAGAAATGAACATTACAAAAAATCTTCACTTTTTTTTCAAGAGGTCACTGAACCATGAAAATGAGGTCAAGGACAATGGACATGTGACAGACAGAAACTTTGTAAAATAAGGCATCTATATACAAAGTATGAAGCATCCAGGTCTTCCACCTTCTAAAATATAAAGCTTTGAAGAAGTTAGTTAACGCCGCCGCTGGATCACTATCCCTATGTCGAGCTTTCTGCGACATATGAAGCAGGCTCGACAAAAATAGATTATTATCTAATGAAAATGATATTTGCAATCACAATTTCTGTTCAAAGGCAAATAAATCATATAATAAGATAACTTTTGGCAACTAAAAGGTTGACAACTCAACAACGAGATTAGCTAAAATCGTGAAAATTGAACTTGACCTTTATTTAGTCACTGGAAACGACATATCTAAATTTGAAAAAATTTCTTGAAAGCGTTTGCCCAATAATGAACGGACAGTTTGGTGGCCCGCCCGTCCACCCACCTGCCGTATAGCCCCAAATCAATAACCGATGTTTCCTTCTAAAATCCAGTTAAAAATGAGATGTGCAATGCTTATACAACTGCATACCAAATATCATTGACCTACAACTTATGGTTCCCCTTTAACTGACCTTATCACAAACTAATACATGTAAACTAAGCAAAAGTTGCAGAGTTTAATATCATTGACCTACCATAAGGGGTTCCCCATAAACTGACGTAAACACAAAATGATACATTGTTGACACTGCTGCAGGAAACAGCATGCCTAGGTCTCGCTTTTTTGACTTCTCGACGCAGGACAATAAAATGAAAAAGATGTGGTTTTATTGCCAATGTGACAAGTCACAACTATCCACCAAAAAACGTTAAAACTACTACAGGTAATCATACTGCCTCCAACAATGAGCAAAACTCAAGACAATTTAGTAAGCTGTGAAATGGATAGATATCACAATGTGAAACAATTCAGAGAAAAAACTAACAAAAATTTACCTGTAAAATTTTTTGTACATTACGGGCTACTGTATAATGTTCTTCTCCTACTACATGTGGATCCAAAATACGTGAATTAGAGTCCAAAGGATCTACAGCAGGGTAAATACCTAACTCAGCAATACCACGGGATAACACAGTGGTAGCATCCAAGTGAGCGAATGTTGTAGCTGGAGCAGGATCTGTCAAATCATCAGCTGGCACATAAACAGCCTGAAAATTTAAATAACTAATTTACAACTAGTAGTTATGAGCGATATAATCAAGAATTAGAATTAGATGGTTGTTCCTCTGTCCCATAAAGTCATCTGTGTAGCATAAAAGCAGGGATAACTTGTGTTTTTTCAAATAGAGATATGTGGAAATACTTTATTTAACACTAGAATATGACCAACAAAACCTCTTACAATTTGTTTAACCTGAAAGACTTGGAACATATTGGACAAGTAGGACAGGAATGGGATATCCCTGAACATCTCACTTGTTCTGCCATTTTTGTATTAGAATCATAATCTATGGAGTTGTAATCTGATGAATACCAATACCTATGACAATGAATCATGCCTATTTTTCAGTACTGGTATATCAAACAATAAATTAATACACAAATTCTAGAGTGTGAGAATTTAATAACAAGAGGCTCTTAAGAGCCTAAATCGCTCACCTGTAATTTTTTGCTTAAATCTTTCATCAATGATTATTTTTGCTTTTCAATATATATCAATGAGTGGCTTAAAAATGCCATTTAAATGTTCTTTGTATCTCACTATCTGTCATATTTTCTTCAAAAGCAAAAAAAGGCATTTTACCCTTATGTTCCATTTTAGCCATAGTAGCTATGTTTCTTGACGTACAAGGAAATAAAATACAAAATTTATACTAGATACTCTGAAACTCATTGAAATTGATTCAACAGTTTCAAAGGAGAAGATTTTTTAAAGTAAGCAATCTAGATGAACAAATTGTGAAAAATTGTCTTTAAAGGGCAATTACTCCTTAAAAGGTCAATTGGCAATTTGGTCATTTAAACTTATTTGTAGATCTTACTTTGCTAAACATTTTTGCTGTTTACAGTTTATCTTTATCTATAATAATATTCAAGATAATAACCGAAAACTGCAAAATTTCCTTAAAATCATCAATTCAGGGGCAATAACCTAAAAACCAGATACCTGATTTGACTGATAATTTCAGGGCAGGTAGAACTTGACCTAATGAATACTTTAACTTCTTGTCTGATTTGCTCTAAATGCTTTAGTTTTTGAGATATAATTCATTTTACCCTATGTTCTATTTTTAGCCATGGCGGCCATGTTTTCTGAGGAGACAGAAAATAACACAAACTTTATTCTAAATAACTTAAGAATCATTCAGCTTAAGTTTGGATTAATTTGGTTTAGTAGTTTCAGAGGAAAAGATTTGTTAAAAGTTAGAAAACATAAGCAAATTGTGTAAAATTGTCTTTAAAGGGCAATAACTCCTTAAGGGGTCAATTGACAATTTTGGTCATAAAACTTATTTGTAGATCTTACTTTGCTGAACATTTTTGCAGTTTTCCTTTATCTACAATAATATTCAAGATAATAACCAAAAACAGCAAAATTTCCTTAAAATTACCAATTTAGTGGCAGCAACCCAACCATGGGTTGTTATATTCATCTGAAAATTTCAGGGCTGATAGAACTTGACCTAATGAACATTTTAACCCGTGTCAGATTTGCTCTAAATGCTTTAGTTTTTGAAATATAGGCCAAAAACTGCATTTTACTCCTATGTTCTATTTTTAGCCATGGTGGCCATGTTTTTTGAGGAAACAGAAAATAAAACACAAAGTTTATTCTAGATACCCTAAGGATCATTCAGCTTTAGTTTGGTTGGAATTGGGTCAGTAGTTTCAGAGAAGATCTTTAAAATAGTCTACAATGGATGGACTACGGACGCCAAGTGATGGCAAAAGGAACGGTGAGCTAATAAAAATTTATGGGTATGGTCTATGATTGAACCCTTAAATTGCCAAGTAAAAATTCTACGTGATTTTTGGGGCAAATTTTTCTTACTTCTAAAAATTCAAGTTCACAGAACACTGAAATGATCACTTTAACTATTCCTTTAAAGTAGGTTATTTCTACTCACAGGTAATGTAATGTAAATGTATGATAAAGACTTCAGTGCACACTAAATGTAAATATGTTATGAAAAATTGAATCCAAAAAAGGAGTTATTGTATGACAAATGGTTGTTGGATAAATGGATATGTATTATCAAAGGTGCCTGCCTACCTGTACTGATGTGATAGAACCTTTCTTAGTTGTTGTAATTCTTTCCTGCATAGTACCCATGTCAGTAGCTAGTGTTGGTTGGTAACCTACAGCTGATGGGATACGACCCAACAAAGCAGATACTTCGGAACCTGCTTGTGTGAATCGGAAAATATTGTCAATAAACAACAACACATCTTGTCCTTCCACATCACGGAAGTATTCTGCTACAGTTAAACCAGTCAGAGCAACACGGGCACGAGCTCCTGGGGGCTCATTCATCTGTCCATATACCAAAGATACCTAAAGTGGTATTGAAAAAAAAAAAGATTATTCTTTAACAACCAAAACTTGTTTAGTATGTAACAAACCACCATTATGCATGTTGCAGTTTCCAGTTCGCAAGGAGTAACAATACAATTAAGCTTGAGATTGAGATCGGGCTATTTCCAGAGTGCATTTTACAGTTATCTGGTAAAATGTGTTCTTAATTTCTGTATGAAGCAACAGAATGTTCCAAAATTTGCAGATATGTTGCTGTTATAATGAAGATATAGCATGATTAATTGAATATAGATTGGTTGTCAACTTTTTCTATAAGATTATGTTTCAATAAAATGCTTCGCCGAGCGCAGCTAGATACGACCGCAGAGGTCCAACCCTGAACAGTTGGGGCAAATAATGGACACAATATTCGCACATGATACAGGTCTGAATTTGGATTGTAATTAAATATTTGACACATAATAGGTTTCTGACATAGAATAACTGTAGTCAAAGAACTTAGAATTGGTTATATGATTTGAATTTATATTCAATTTTTTGCTTTTGTGCAATACACTATGCTGTTGAGAATTGACCCCCCTCCCAAAATATTTTTTTTTACCCCACCCCTTTTTTTTGCAAAAAAAAAAAAAAATATTTGAAGAAATTTTCTTTTTAATTTCTGAAATTTGAAATGAGAAAAAATTGCCCCCCCCTCACAATTTCTTTTTTACACCCCCCCTCCCCCCACCTTTTCCAAAAAAAAAAAATTCTTTTCCTCAAGATATGGTCATAATATGAATTCAAATTTCCATTGGAGTTTGCAACTATAATTACCCATTTAAATACATCATAAAAGTCTTAAAATAGAAAATGACATACATAATCATGGCTAAAATTAATATTCCTTAATAAGCATTTTTAAATAGTAACTTCTAAAAATAAATTGACAGCTAATCACCTCAAGACAATACAACATTTCTTTATACATAATTTAAAAACAGTGTAAGGGAGGTAATCAAAACATTACATTGTACTTTTTTTTAATTGTCCATTAACCAGGAAACCCTTGTTTTTCCCCTTTTTTTGCCCCTTATTCCTAAACGGTTTGAACCATAACCCCCCAAAGCCAATCCTTACCATCCCTTTGTGGTATGAAAACTAGTTGAATAATTTCAGAGAGATCCATACACCGTTCCACAAGTTATTGTCTGGAAACTAGAAAAATGCTTATTTGGGCCCCTTTTTGGTCCCTAATTCCTAAACTGTTAGGACTATAACCCCCAAAATCAATCCCAACCTTCCTTTTGTGGTTATAAACCTTGTGTATAAATTTCATAGATTTCTATTTACATTTACTCAGGTAATTGTCCGGAAACCAAATGTCTTCGGATGACGACTTGATACCAATAAACTACAGCAAAATTTTTTGCGCTTGTATAAAAACGTCTAATTTTTACTCTTTTAAAACAGGACAATCAATAACCAAGTTCAGTTCAAGATTTTTTCAAGACTTTTAAAGCTGACTATGCTATGGGTTTTACTCATTGTTGAAGGCCGTATTGTGACCTATAGTTGTTAATTTCTATGTCATTTGGTCTCTTGTGGAGAGTTGTTTCATTAGCAATCATACCACATCTTCTTATTTTTATAAAGACATACATGTAAATAGTAGACCTATTTGAGTTCAGATAATACTGCTGGGTTTTTTCTCATGCATGAAATACAAAAAATAAAAAAAAGTATGCTTATCTAAATTCTTCCAAAATCAAGAATAAGGAATGTTCACATTACTTTGTTTTAACATGAGCAGAAATTATCATTTTTGCATTGTTCTAGACAATATTTTAATCCTTCTAAATCAAACATTATTCATGAGCTTGATATATGCAAGGATGATCACTTTCATCAAATAATTGTTAGTTTCCTGCAGAATGGAACATTTCTCCTATTCCAGTTTACATGTACTTGTAGGGAAAGAACCAGATTAACTGCCTCCAAAATTGTATTTTCATATGTAAATAAATACCTTAGATGTGTCGTCTGTCAAGCTAATAACTTTAGATGTGATCATTTCATGGTACAAGTCATTGCCTTCACGAGTTCTCTCCCCTACTCCTGCAAACACTGAGTAACCACCATGAGCTTTGGCAACATTATTAATCAGTTCCATAATCAAAACAGTCTTTCCTACTCCTGCTCCACCAAAGAGACCTATTGATAAGCAAAAATAATCTATGTATTTTTCAAGAATTCTGCAGTATACAAACTACAAAGTGACAAAATGGTACATTTATTATATTCAGATCTCATTTAACTAAATCTTGACAAAGTAGACCATTGACAAACTCACCTAATTCAGCCATCTTTTGTACAATAATTATATGATATTAGTTTTGAAAAAGTTACATAGAAAATTCAAAACAATAAAGGAAAAATTAGTTTTGATATTTTCTAAGTGTTTTTTTTTATTAATTTATTTAAAAGCAATGTAGTAATATTGCTACATATTAAATTAAGCAGATTATTCGAGTATTTCATCTGTGCAAGCTTTAACAAACAACTCATATAGAAAGATGAACATTCTATTTTCTGCATTAAAATTTTATTTTATATAAAAGGTATGTTTTTTTGGTAAGGGCCCTAATTGGTGCAAAATATTAAGTTGATTGTTGCAAGATAAAAATGGATTCAAGTTGATTAATAAACTAATAGAATTATTTTTGTCATGCTCCTTTGCTTATAAAGCAGACATTTACACCCCAAAAAGACCAAAGAGATTTTTTCCAAAGTTGACAAAATCGTCTAGATTTCAACCACATTATGGTCTGGGAAACATAGAGACCAAGACACAATTAATATTTAACTCAATTTGTGATATGATATAACATAGACAAACATAATGTCAAAAGACCTTTTTTGTCAATGTGTGCTCTGTATATTTTCGGTCCTAAAAGCCAATGAAAATTGACCTGTTTTTACTGAAATTCTAGGAAAATCAAAAGTTATGCTGTTTTTGACGCAGTGATCTGGAAAGATTTTTTCTGTATGGGCCCAGGGCCCCATAAAAAAAAATTAAAAATCGTCCATTTTTTGAAATAATGAGCCATGTTGTCAAATGAATGGGCCATTCATTTTAACAAAAAACTTAAAAAGTGTATGTTTCAGCAAAGAGGTACTAACCTGTATGATTCTAATTGATATTGTTCCTGTGCTTTTATAGTTTCAGTGAATAAATGTTTACTTAGTTCATGGTGATTTATGTGACTAAGACTCAGTGACATCGTATGTATTCATGGTATGTAACATCACTCAGAAATTAACACTTTATGACTTAAAAATAAAAACTATAGAACTGAACAACATATGACCAAGACCAACACCACTTCAATGAACAGAATCATGATAAAGGAAATGCTGAGATCAGGATTGTACTGGTTTTAAATGTTGTGCAGCCTAACGCAGGGTATTTTTCTTGACAGCTTTTTGGCAAGATTTGCAGTACATTTTGCTGCCATCATACAGTAACCAGGGCCATAACTTCTCCCAAACCGAGCGATATTTACGAGAATCTTTATGTACAATGTTAATACTTGAACCTTCACCAGTACCGTTGCCTTAAGCATGTTCAAGTTCCTGAGGACGTTTCAGGCATTTCCTCTGCATTTCTTGTATCATTATTCTTATCACGACCAACAAAAGAAAGTAACATTTTTTGGCCAGGCAAAACAACAATTCGCTGTTTCTATGGAGGCATGTTTACAAAAAATTTGACAATGACAGATAAGCGCCTTTTATGGAGACAAATACGATATTTAAAAAAATAAAAAGGCCCTTGGGTCTTTCAATCCAAATTATAGCAAGTTTTCTTTAAAAGATTATAATTTGAGAATATTTCTTGTCTGTTCTAGCCAACTTTCACAGAATTAAAGATGTTTTCTTTGAAAATTTAGATCATGGTTAATTCCTTTTTTTCTAGTTATCAGATATACCGCATGTTGCTATTGTTAACATAAAGCAAAACCCCAGAGACAGCCCAAAATGTAGTTGGTACTCCTGTCATTGGAATGTAACACGACGACGTTTTGTACACGATCAGAAATACATTTTATGATATCTAAACGTTAAGATACGGAGCGAAAATACTGTGCGCCACACTGGCTCTGTTATTTGTCAATCTATGCACCATTTTTTTGTCAAAATGCGCATGGCTCTGGACCTTCCCAATCACTGTTGACGTAATAAAAAGAAGACTGATTCCAAAAAATGTCAAAAAGGGGAGACCATTTTCGTATCAAGTCATTTTTAAATTTTTTTTTAGCTATTATTTATTATGATTATGGTCAATTAATCCTTATTTGAAAATTAATTAATAAATGCATCTTTTTTTTTTACCATATTTGATTGACACTTACCAATTTTACCACCCTTTGCATAAGGAGCCAACAGATCTACAACTTTAATTCCAGTCTCAAGTACTTCTTGAGTAACACTCATTTCAACAAAATCTGGGGCTTCAGCATGTATAGACAAAAATCTGGAAAACAAATCAGCATTTGTACAAATTATAAAATTATGATAATACAAATGTGTGTTGATTCTCTCCATGTCAGATCTGTATTTTATGGATTATGACATTTGTGTTAAAAGCTAAAAAGTTTTGTGTCAAGTTGCTTTTGAAAAGAAATCATCTGGAAACCAAACAAAAATATGAGATATCTAAGGGGCATAACTCTTAAATGACAAATGTCAAAATTGTTTTCACAAGATTTGGTCTGCGCAACCCCTGACACTAGAAAAATTTCCATTTTTTTTTTTATTTCTTTGAATGATTCATTTTGGAACAAGATGAGCTGTGTGTAAGAATATATAGTATTCTGCAGGGTTTTCATTAAGAGCCGGCACCCGGCGGAATGTCGCCGTTTCAAAAGACGGAAATCGCCGGTTCAAATGCTTAAACAAAAAATGTTTTTGAAGAGTAAAACAAAAATAAAGTTTTATTAACCTTTTGTCTCATGCAGTTTTTAGTTTCATAGATTTTTCAAAAACGACAGCTTTTTATAACTGACTGGACCAGTTTGTCTGACTGAAAGTAAACTTAAAATCGGCGTCAGTAAGACGTTTGCCTGCATTCAAATACGATGTTCAATCAATCGCTTGAATGATCAAGATTGTCAATGGTAAAATCAAGAGAGATATCGAAACAAAAGCGTATGTTATCAATGGATAACTCATGAGAAACCAAAATTAAAAAGTTTTAGGAGGCAATTTTTTAAATTGAATGTCAATAAATTAAATGAAACTACATGAAATGAAAAACCAAAAGGAAATGATTTCTTTACCAGCAAAAAGACAAAATCATTAGAACCATTTACAGGTAAAAAATTTTATTTGAAGTTATTAAATTTCAAAGAAGCCTTAGAAAATAGAAGGTCTGTACAGTCTCATGTTTATATAAATGAGGCCTGCCCAAGCTTGCCTTCTATGCCCTTTTTATAATGTAACAAGTATTTCATTAATTATTACCACCCTTGAACTCTTGGGGAGGGAAGGGGGGTTGAAAATAGTGCCTAGGCTAGGAGTGGTGCTGCCCATTTTTTTTTTTTTTTTACCTTTTCTTTGTAGTATATAGTTCCAGGTTTATTACTGCCCATTTGTTGTGGATGGGGCCATCAAAGAAGCCTAGGATAGGAGGGAGGCTTCCCATTTTTTATTTATAGTTGTACCTTTCCCCTCATGTTTTACTGAAAAAGCAGGTAGGAGGGTAAATGCCAAGGCTAGGGAAAAGGCTCTCTTTATTTTTTTCAGTTATAATTTTCTCCTTGCTGTTCATTAGCCCACTCGTTGAAAAAAGTACCAATGTTAGGATGGGTCCTGCCTCAGTTTGAATTTTTTTACATTAACTATCTCGAATGGACGCCTTTGTTAAAAATGCTGGCTAAGAAGGGGTGGACATTTTCCCACTTCAGCATATATGTCCTTTCCCAGGTTTGCATGTTTTTATTGAATTATAGAACACATGAAAATAATATTTCTTTTCTGGATCAAAACTGAAATTGTCAGATTTTGCAGCTGACATATACACATGTAGGTCTTTACATAAATATGAGAATATGTGGTACAAGTGCCAATGAGACAACTCTCCATCCAAGTCACAATTTGTAAAAGTAAACCATTATAGGTCAAATCAAGGCCTTCAACACGGAGTCTTGGTATTAATAGTTTATGCTGACCCTCTGTTGCTTTCTTACTTTTTGCGAAATCTGGCAATACAATAACAATTAAGATTATTTTTGATATATTTTTATTTGTCTTATTTTAATACGCAATATCACAAGATTGACCTTACAAGCTAAAAAAAAAGATAACATTTCTATGAAACCCCATTTTTTATGCACTTATAAATAGTTTGAAAATGCCTCAGAGTGCACCATTTTCAATGTAAGGTCAAAAAAAATTTCGGGGGGGCAAGCCACCCCGGACCCCCCCTTTTTGGTCAGCCACTTCAAATAAGTAAACAGCCTGTTCATTGAAAAGTTATTGAAAGCCCTGATTCTGTAAACAGAAAGTTGATTTAAGATAAATGTGAAAAGCATGTGGACATGGAACTTGATGTCAAATTTCATGAAGCTCTGAATTGTTGTTCCTGAGAAAATTCAACAAAAATATAATCAGATGTACAAACAAACAAATGTAAACTCCATCCTTTGGAGAGGGGTATATTAATTCTATACTTTTCAGAATAATTTATGTGTAAGATAGAAACCAATTTCAACATGTTCAATTGAAAATGAATATTTTCATTAGACATTTTCAGATTTGTGCAAAATCAGATGAAATTTACGGATTTTGCTAGAATTTGAAATAAGGAAACATTTTTTTTGAAAGAATATCGAAGAATTGAAGCCAGACTAGTATACTTTTTTGACATAAAATGCCGTTTTATGTACAAAAACCCTTGGAATGGACATCGTTCAGTGTAAGGAATTTGTACAACCTTGTTGAATTTTTCAAACTTTTGCCGTTTTGGGTTAAATAAAATGCTCCGCTGGGGCGCAGCTTGATACGACCGCAGAGGTCAAACCCTGAACAGTTGGGGCAAGTATGGACACAACATTCAAGCTTGATACAGCACTGAATTTGGATTGTAATTAAATATTTGACACAGCATAGGTTTCTGACACAGAATGAATGTGGTCTAAGAACTTAAAAAAATTTAATTTATCTATTCAAAACATATCATTATTATTTGCTTTTATATATAAATCAGAAATAACCAATTTAAAATGGAAAATTTTAAAGAAAAAAAAAATCCACCCCCAATTTTTTGAACCCCCTTATGATTCATCACCCCCAAACTCAATCCCAGCCTTCCCTTTGTGGTATGGTACCTTGCAGTACACATACATGTGATGGACTGTGAAACTCAGATTAGGAGTTTGGGAAATTTTGGTCAGGAGATTAGGACTCAGATCAGGAGGTTTTAGTGTGTTTTCTTCAACTTTCCATCCGAATGTATTGTTTATAGTACCCTTGTACTTATTAATTTTCTCTATCTTTTTAAACTTTGAACTTGTTCAATCTAACATTCTTCTTTTTTAGTATGTTCTTTAAATATTTTAGGTCATATCTTTTTTACCATTATTTATTGCAATCAGAACATTTGCTTATCTATCTGCAAGTAGATCTTGTTTTTTATCTATATGCAAGTAGATTTTTACTGCATGATAAGTAACACATTCAAACAATAGTCATGGGTCATAGTTATTATATAAATTTCAATTTAAGCCTTGAAAGGAAGTATAGAACCCTCAAATAATTTTCAGATTATTATTTTTTTATTTGTCCTAAGACATTTAAAATCATTTAATTACCATCCTTTTATGATTATTTGCTCAATTTATATTTTATTTATATTCTTTTAAAAATTTACATTATTTAAAGGAAAGTAACTTAAAACAGGATAAATCAAGGGAAGTAACCCAACATTCATTTTAAATACACAAAGTTTTATTACACAGCGGCAGTTACCCTGAGGTAAAAATCGTTGATTACCAGTATGTTTGACACCCAAGGTGACAAGTGAAGCCATATAATTATGCATGTTAATTGATTTACAGGTAAAATATAACTTCAGGTAATGTCAGTTACACCGAGGATTTGTATGTGTATGTGTATTTCTATACAAATCCTTGGTTACACCAGATATGTTGGGCTGAAATTTTTCATTCATGAAATATTTCATACACGGGATTTCTTTGTCTTCAATGGGAGGTCCGGAGGAGACCCCTGAAAACAGGATTATTGTACTCCCGTTGGGAGGTTCACATGTATGAGTACAATTTCAGAGAGATCCATACACTTGAAAACAAGTTATTGTCTGGAAACTAGAAAAATGCTTGTTTTTTGGCCCCTTTTTGGCCCCAAATTCCTAAACATTTAGTGCAATTACCCCCAAACTCAAACCCATCTTTCCCTTTGTGATATGGAACCTCGCAGTACAATTTCATAAAGATCCATACACTTACACACAAGTTATTGTCCTGAAACTAGAAAAATGCTTGTTTTTTTGCCCCTTTATGGCCCCTAATTCCTCAAATTTCTAGGGAATTACCCCCAAAATCAATCCCAGCCTTCCCTTTGTGGTATGGTACCTTGCAGTACAATTTCAGAGAGATCCATACACTTGAACACAAGTTATTGTCTGGAAACTAGAAAAATGCTTATTTTTGGCCCCTTATTCCTAAACGTTGTGGGCAATTACCCCAAAATCAATTCCAGCTTTCCCTTTGTGATATGGAACCTTGTAGTACAATTTCATAAAGATCCATACACTTACACACAAGTTATTTTCATGAAACTAGAAAAATGCTTGTTTTTTGCCCCTTTTTGGCCCCTAATTCCTAAAATTTGGAGGCAATTACCCCCAAAATCAATCCCAGCATTCCCTTTGTGATATGGAACCTTGTGGTACAATGTCAGAGAGATCCATACACTTACACACAAGTTATTGTCATGAAACTAGAAAAATGCTTGTTTTTTGCCCCTAATACCTAAAATTTGGGGGCAATTACCCCCAAAATCAATCCCAGCATTCCTTTTGTGATATGGAACCTTGTGGTACAATGTCAGAGAGATCCATACACTAACACACAAGTTATGTCTGGAAGTTACAAAAATGCTTATTTTTGGCCCCTAATTCCTTAACTGTTGGTACCATAACCCCCAAAATCAATCCCCACCTTCCTTTTGTGGTATTGAACCTCATGGTAAAATCTCATAGCGATCCATTCACTTAAACTAAAGTTAGAGTGTGAAAACCAATGTGTCTATGGACGACAACGCCGTCATACCAATATACGACCACAAAATTTTTTTGCAGTCGTATAAAAATTACGATTTTGGGTCAAAAAGTCGAATTTCGAGAATTTCATCTCTCTAATGCCGAAAATTTGCAAATTTTAATTTTTTATGAAGAAAAAATGATCAAAACAAATGTGTCCATGGTGTAAGTGAATAATATAAAGACAAATAACTGCAGACAAGTTTTTATTCTAAGTTTTCATTTGTTTAAGTCAGTATTTTGCATGAAACTAAAGTTAGAGAACGGAAACAAAAAATACAGCAATTTTTCCATTTGTAAAGGGGCATAACTCTAGAACGGTAAAAGTGACGCCTCCAAAATTCAAACTTGATCTGTGTTTTGTGGTAATAAGCATTGTGTATATAAGTTTCACAACATTTGGTTGAGGCAAACTAAAGTAAGAGAACGGAAACCAATTTTGGGACGTACATACGGACAAGGGTAAAACTTAATGCCCCCTCTACTACGGCGTGGCATAAAAATGAAATAAGGGAAAAAGTAGGCAACTTACGGTTGTTGACATATGGAATGGTAAATTGATAAAATCTACATTTTTGTACTTACTTATCTGTGTTGACTGGTCCTCTCTCGTCAATTGGGTCCCCTACAACATTGATAATTCTTCCCAGTGTAGCTGGTCCTACTGGAATTCTAATTGGATAGCCTGTATCTATACAACTTGTTCCTCGTACCAAACCTTCAGTACCATCCATAGCAATTGTTCTTACAAAGTTCTCTCCTATAAACCATAAATAAATAATATACATGTAGATATTGGATAAGGCCTAAAAAAAATATCTGTGTTTCCGGTAACATCATTTTGAAAAATAGGGTTGGTAGGTCGGATTTTTTTTTTTTTTTTTTTTGACATTGTAAACGAAATCCGGAAAATTATCATGGTTTTTCCAAGTCCGGGTCCGTAATTAGTTTCAAATACCGGAAGTGCGGCCATTTGCAATATTTTTGAAGCACCTGCTGTGCAAATTTCTTGGATTTTAACCTATTTGGAATACCTTTTGACATAAATAAAATGTTTTACTGGCTTTCAAATTCTGTGCCAGTAGAAGCAAGTTAGATAAATAATTATGTCGATTAACAGAAGCCTGTGTCAAAAACAGGGTCGATTGATACCTTTTATTTTGAAGATCCAATAAAAAAATTAGGGTCAGGGCTAAAAAAACAGGGTCGGTCGGGTTACCGGAAACACAGATTTTTTTTTCTCGGCCTAAGAGAACATTATTCTCACTAAAAACAAATTAAACTGTTCCTGACAGCTTATTTTTTTAAGGTTATCATCAAGCTCCTACATGTACATAATAATTTTTAAAAAGTCCTGGCTATTGATTTTCTTTTTAATTTACATGTAGGTACAACCATGATGTTTTTCTATCATCCAATGGATTTAGTGTAAAGACGTCATAAACAGTCAGAGAAAAACATGACCTTGTGCAATGCCAAGATACAGGTATCGACAGATTGTAGATCCATAAATGTGTATATGTATATAACAATAATATTTAGTTTGCTTTTAATTTACTGATAACAAAATCAATATCAGTACCAATAAAAACAATATTTAATGATCTAATTACAGTGTTGAATTGGTAATCTTTTAGAATAAGTTTATTGAAAGGATCGATAAGTTTACCAGGATTGTTTCTAAATTACCGGGCACGTTTAACAATATTGCCGTAAAAATGGGGATGTGCAATCCCGTTTGAAATAAGTTTTCTACAGGTACAACCAAACTTCAAAACCAAATCTTTATATCTGTGGAAGAATTTAGTAAAGGTTTTAAGTAATTTGTGGTAATGAAATCCCTGGCTTAATAATTTACCAGTAAAACATAGATTACGTTCGTTAAAATCAAAAACGTCACAACAGACACGTGCATAGCGAATGAGTTGTGAAATATAAACACTGTAAGATGGTGCCAAAGGAACATCACCATCCAAAAAAGGAAAAATTAACAATAGGGAACGAAAAATCGTCCCTTTTGTCGTAAATTTTAGTGTGGAGTTTCCCGTGTAAAACCGAAATATCTAAATCTAGGAAAGGACAGTTGTTACCGTTTAAATTTGATTTATTTAAAGCAAGTTCCTTTGGGTAAATTTCAGCAGTATATTGAGAAAATTCTTGATTATTTAACGAAAAAATATCATCAAGATAACGGTAAGTGTTGTTGAATTTATCAATTAAATGCAATTTAGACGGGTCTTTACTGAGTTTGGTCATAAACTGTGATTCATAACAGTACAAAAACAAGTCTGCTATTAAAGGGGCGCAATTTGTGCCCATATGAATACCTACCTGTCGATAAACTTTGCTGCTGAAACGTACATAAATATTATCAAGGAGAAAATTAACAGCTTCAATCATCTCATCACACCTCCAGTAAGTATATCTAGCATATTTACCCTTCTCGTTAGAGAAGAAGGCTTTAAATGAGTTGCAGCAAATATATTTGCATTCAGATTTACCAAACGACCATTTAATTAAATAGTCAAATTTTTGTTTGATAAGATTGTGTGGAAGTGTAGTGTAAAGAGTAGAAAAGTCAAAACTGTCAACAGAATCAAAAGAACCATCAAAAGCACGCAATTTATCTAAAACATCCAAAGAATTTTTTACACTCCAAAAAAAGTTCATTCCACTATTTTCATATATTTTATTACAATAGTTTATGATAAGCTCTTTGATAGTAGTTAAGGAACTTGTTAAAAGCACTGAAAGATTAGTTGTAGAACACTTACAAGAGGCCGAGATGAAACGATATTTTACTGGTTTTTTGTGTAGTTTAGGTAACCAATACATAGTAGGGACCTTCAAATGTTCAGAAGAAGCCATAAGCTGTGATGTGGTTATGATATATTGGTTAACTATATGACTCTCTGTGGGGCGTATGGACTTGAATGTAGATGAATTTAAAATTTCATTCTTAAGAACGTCCGTGTAGTATTTACAGCATACCACCACCACATTGTTGGCTACTTTGTCGGCCGGTACAAACACAAACCGCTTTGAAAGTTAATGCCTAATTTTAAAAATAAAGTTTTTATGTTGTGCACATCCTGTACATAAACATTACAAATGGATAACATGTGGACATTTTCATTCTGTAATAAATATACCTAGTATTTGTTCAATTATCTTAAATCACCTGATTAGCAGTAAACAATCATTTACAGAGGTGATAAAACTTCCAAAGGCAAGGTATTTAACTTTATGCCATTGTCAGTTAATTAAAGTGTTACACTCAGTTTACAATTTTACCAGAAACAACGCAGGTAGGCATGTAATTTGGAAAGTTTATTTTTTGAAAAGACAGAAGAGGGCATTTTTTGGCTTTGGAGGGCAGAAGGGTGGGGGTAAGGGCAGAAGGGTGGGGGTAAGGGCACCAAGGGCGGACTGCCCTTCTATTTTGGGCAGGCGGAAACACTGCATTTTATGATTGTATATTCATCTCCATATTTTTTTTGTCCTTCATAATAATTTAACACACAAGTACAGATACAAATCTTCACAAATAAAATCAATAGTATACACTTATATTTACAAAAGTCAGTCACTATAAATTATGAAATCACTGGCGGAAACCAAAACAGTTCTGAACGGTCTCTCATGAGGTCGTCTGCTTTACATTAAATTATTAAGAATTTATCATAATTGTCTTAATCGTATTACCTATTGTAACTAGACATCATTGAGATGGGAGCCATCTCTGTGGGCCCCGCTGTAAATAACAGTTGTCAGCTGAAACCAAAGTTTTTGACCTTGACCTTTGACCTAGGAAGTTGTACAAACATTATGACACACCCTCTGGTGTTGGTTAATATACATGTCAAGTATAAAGTATGAAATTATAACAGTTCTCTAGATATAGAGTGGACACAATTTGTTACGGACAGACTGATCACTATAGGGCAACCCGCCTAGTGCTAGTGGCCCTAATTAATGAATTTTAATTCGAACAATTTATTTAATCTCGGCTTGTCTCATTTCAATTTGTTTCGTTTTTATGTGAGGTGAAATGTGTTCGAAACACTTGCGTTCCGCTTGGACAATCAACAAAGATGTTAATTACCAGTCACCATAAACATTTACCAGTCACCATAAACATGTCATTTTAATTGTTATACAAACAAGTATGTTTACTCAGCTTTAATCTCTTTTGAAAATGATTAGGTTACATAAACTAGAGGCTCTAAAGAGCCTGTGTCGCTCACCTTGGTCTATGTGAATATTAAACAAAGGACGCAGATGGATTCATGACAAAATTGTGTTTTGGTGATGGTGATGTGTTTGTACATCTTAATTTACTGAACATTTTTCCTGCTTACAATTATCTCTATCTATAATTAACTTGGCCCAGTAGTTTCAGAGGAGAAGATTTTTGTAAAAGATTACTAAGATTTACGAAAAAATGGTTAAAATTGACTATAAAGGGCAATAACTCCTAAAGGGTTCAACTGACAATTTCGGTCATGTTGACTTATTTGTAGATCTTACTTTGCCGACATTTATCGTTTTTTACAGTTTATCTCTATCTACAATAATAATTCAAGATAATAACCAAAAACAGCAAAATTACCTTAAAATTACCAATTCAGGGGCAGCAACCCAACAACGGGTTGTCCGATTCATCTGAAAATTTCAGGGCAGATAGATCTTGACCTGATAAACAATTTTACTTCATGTCAGATTTGCTTTAAATGCTTTGGTTTTTGAGTTAAAAGCCAAAAACTGAATTTTACCCCTATGTTCTATTTTTAGCCGTGGCGGCCATCTTGGTTGGTTGACCAGGTCACGCCACACATTTTTAAAACTAAATAACCAAATGATGATTGTGGCCAAGTTTGGTTTAATTTGGCCCAGTTGTTTCAGAGGAGAAGATTTTTGTAAAAGATTACTAAGATTTACGAAAAATGGTTAAAAATTGACTATAAAGGGCAATTACTCCTAAAGGGGTCAACTGACCATTTCGGTTATATTGACTTATTTGTAAATCTTACTTTGCTGAACATAATGGCTGTTTACAGTTTATCTCTATCTATAATAATATTCAAGATAATAACCAAAAACAGCAAAATTTCCTTAAAATTACCAATTCAGGGGCAGCAACCCAATAACGGGTTGTCCGATTCATCTGAAAATTTCAGGGCAGATAGATCTTGACCTGATGAACAATTTTACCCCATGTCAGATTTGCTTTAAATGCTTTGGTTTTTGAGTTAAAAGCCAAAAACTGAATTTTACCCCTATGTTCTATTTTTAGCCGTGGCGGCCATCTTGGTTGGTTGACCAGGTCACGCCACACATTTTTAAAACTAGATAACCAAATGATGATTGTTGCCAAGTTTGGTTTAATTTGGCCACGTAGTTTCAGAGGAGAAGATTTTTGTAAAAGATTACTAAGATTTACGAAAAATTGTTAAAAATTGACTATAAAGGGCAATAACTCCTAAAGGGGTCAACTGACCATTTCAGTCATGTTGACTTATTTGTTAATCTTACTTTGCTGAACATTATTGCTGTTTACAGTTTATCTCTATCTATAATAATATTCAAGATAATAACCAAAAACAGCAAAATTTCCTTAAAATTACCAATTCAGGGGCAGCAACCCAACAACAGGTTGTTCGATTCATCTGAAAATTTTAAGGCAGATAGATTTTGACCTGATAAACAATTTTACTTCGTGTCAGATTTGCTCTAAATGCTTTGGTTTTTGAGTTATAA